GGTGAGAGGCGTGAAGCAGTCTCCAGGGGCCACAGGTAGGAGGCAGGAAGAACACGCTGCTTCAAGGAGAGCAGGGGTGGGGGTGGGTGATTAATGGCACAACCACAGCGGGTCATCCACGTAGGGGACCCCCGGACCATGTGGGATGCACTCTGGGAGATTTTCTCTGTAAGTGGTCAAGTGCCACCTGAGGGCCATGCTGGCCGCTCCTAGACGGACTTATCCCTGGTGTCAGTCTCACAGCGGTGCACCAAGACTCAGCATTTCTGAGTCTGAAGACCCCTTCTTGGGGTAGCAGGACAAACATGTCCCTCAAACCACATCGTGTGCAGAGTGGGGAAGTGTGTGTGAGCACCTGGCCGGTCACAAGGAGGATCGGGGTGCGAACTAGCCATCCTCTGAATGCTGCTGGCCTATGCTTCTTGCTCCTGAGCTGTGCACAGGACATGTAGCAGAAACAGCTGCCCGCAGGTCTCCCGCCAAGAGCCGGAGAGCTTCTAGTCCATTTCCCTCCAGTCTTTTTTCTATGTAAGTAGGTGTGCACATGATCTCCCAGACCAGGGCTCCTCAACCTTCCTAATGCCGCGACCCTTTCATACAGGTCCTCGTGTGGTGGTGACCCCCCAACCATAACATTGTTTTCACGGCTACTTCATCACTGTCCTGTTGCTACTGTGATAAATTGGGCAACCCCTGTGAAAGGGTCGCTCAACCCCCAAAGGGGTTGCGACCCACCGGTTGAGAACGGCTATCCTAGCCCAATGTCTGTGTTGTCGGGGGGCGGGGACAGGAGTGGCCAGCAGGGCCCCAGTCTGGGAGGAATGCTAGTCCCCACCCATCAGACCTTCCATCTGTTTTCCCATCTCTGCTTCTCCGCCCCGTGAGCCCACCCCTCTTCCCCCACGTGCCATGGGATGAGACAGGCTTTTTCCCAAACCACTGCCACAGGGAAAGACATTTACGTGGCAATGCGGAATGAGTAAAGCAGGGTGCACAGCCACGCGTTGAACTCAAGCCCCACGGGGTAAAAAACCCAGACTGGGGAGAAATCACCCCAGATGCCGACCACGAGACTCCTGGGTGATAAAAACCAAGCAAACCAGTTCACTGCCATTGAGCTGATGCTGACTCACAGCGACCCTCGGCCCTCGAGGGCAGGGTG